TTTTTTTTTTTTTTTATTATTTTTTTTTTAAATAAATCATTTTAAACAAACACTGCTTTTGTTCTCATTAAGTTTACTACATGTTTTGACACATCTTTTAATAATGTCCAGTATCAATCATTCTTTAGTTTAAGAATGAAGAGAATATTTCATTGTATAAGGGGTAATAAATCTACAAAATGTCTTTCAAGAAGGTAAGAGGTGTAATATTAGATATATGACCACTTTTGGTTCTTACTTTACAAAAATATTTTATAACAAGTCTTGCTTCCAATTATGCTTTCACTAGTCTATATTATCCACATACATTGACCAACTTGTTATTATCAATCTCTTACGCACGCACGCACACACACACACACACACACACACACACACAACTCTGATAAAAGTAACGTGCACCTTGTGAAAATAGACTTATCTAGGGAGAAGTAAAGGAGAGAGAAAGAGAGAGAGAGAGAGAGAGAGAGAGAGAGTATTCATTCGCGAATATTGTGAAACGATAAGATGATTTAAAAAAAAAGCAAACATACTTTTATCGATGTATTTATTATTGATATAAATATATTTTATTGGCTTTTCTTGAAATCTATAAGAATATTATATTTATTTTTTAAACGAAACTTCATAATATTGAGTAAATTCTATTATAATTTATGTCACTAATTAAGGTGAAAAATCAAATTACTTTTATTATTATTCATATTTTGTATGAAATACCTTCATAAACGATAATATAAAATTGTAATTGATTTTCATTTAATCATATATGTATTTTCAAAGAAAAATTTTTAGTAATTTTTGGAAAATTATTCACGCTCGATTTTAGTTTCTAATGATGTAAAAGCAACAGGTGATATTTTATTTTGTCCGAGATTGTCGGTAATGAAAAAGTACGAATGATTTTTTAAAGTAATCTTAATCTTTCATTGTGTCAATGTAATACATAAATCTAATCGTTACCTCTAACAATTACCGCGACGGCATTTATTTTATTTTTTTTTTTTTTCTTATTACTTATAACGTAGATATTTAAATATAATTGAGCTTTCGTTCCTTACTTCTCAAAGGTGCGGAAGTATAAATCTTTCGAGTACATTAGCATTAGTAATGTCAAATACGTATTTAATATAAATAAAGGATGAAAAGCATGTAATTTAAGGTCTAATATATTAATTGCCTTGCTGAAAGAAAATTCGATACTTTTAAAGATTTATAAATAAACGACTTTGAATGTAGAAATTGAATGTATTTCATTGGAATAGACAGATATACAATGTCCCTATAAGAGTAATATCTATCTATCTCATTTCGATTACTATATTCATTGGTTCTGAAAATTAAAATATAGTAAGTAAGATTATATAGTGAGTAGATTACTCATTAACAATCTTAATTATTGTACGATTTTTTCTTTTTTTTTTTTTTTTTTTTTTTTTTTTTTTTTCTTTTTTTATCTGTTAATTTTTAATCAATTTTCTGTATAATTTTTAATAGAATTAACCAATTGCGTAACGGCAATGTGTTAATTAACAGATTTTTTGTATATATCTTGAAAAACGGTTGGAAAATGTTCTACTCGTTATGGGAATTTTAATCAATGTTTGTGTTCTCCATTTAAACATGTATGCGAGTGGTGCGAGGGAAATAAAAATGCTATCGATTAAACATATTATTAATTTTTATCGCACGATCGATCGACTGCATTATCAATATAATGCAATCGTTTGTTAAACAATAATAAGCAAAATAAATAATTTTCTTAATCTGACATTGTAAAGAATAATGCATTTATGGATAAATGATTATGTACTTTTAATATTACTAAATATGCGCCTACACTCCTTTAGAATAACGATCATATTTTTCCACTAACTAGTTCGGTTTGGTCTTTGCTTTTAAATAAGATTATATAATTAATACTTTTGACTACTCGGCTCGACCATCTTCCCTAAAATCTCGGGCTCCCGAATAATTAGGACGTCCAACTGATCTAGGCCGCGCGGTCAGCTGCCGCTGCGGGAGTGTAGTGGTATTTGGTGGCGAGTATGGGTGGGGAGGGGGAGTGGGATGAAATGGGATGGAGATGGGAGTGGGCAATGGAACGGTGGACTAACGATGAGGATTACTCTGTTTCAGCGAGCGCAGACGTGGGCTTCGCGATCTACGACAGGTACGCGGCCGAGCAGCTTGGACTGCCGGTCTCGTACGTTGCCCACCTGACGGGGGCCCTGGCCGGCCTCACGATCGGCGTCCTCGTCCTCAAGAACTTCGAGCAGCGGCTGCACGAGCAGCTACTGTGGTGGGTCGCCCTCGGAGTTTACGCCGCCTGCACGATATTCGCGGTCATGTATAATCTCATGCACCCGGACTATCCATGACGCGAGGTGAGCTTCGCGTACGGCCACCCGCGGCAAACGTAACGCGAAGCCGACGCCCCGTCCGCCGCTAGGAGTGAGGAGGAGGATGTGAATGAGAATGAGAAGGAGGAGCAGGAGCAAGAGCAAGAGCAGGAGCAGGAGCAGGAGCAGGAGCTGGAGAAGGAGGATGTGAATGAGAATGAGAAGGAGGAGGAGCAGGAGCAGGAGCAGGAGCAGCAGGAGCAGGAGCAGGAGCTGGAGAAGGAGGATGTGAATGAGAATGAGAAGGAGGAGCAGGAGCAAGAGCAAGAGCAGGAGCAGGAGCAGGAGCAGGAGCTGGAGAAGGAGGATGTGAATGAGAATGAGAAGGAGGAGCAGGAGCAAGAGCAAGAGCAGGAGCAGGAGCAGGAGCAGGAGCTGGAGAAGGAGGATGTGAATGAGAATGAGAAGGAGGAGCAGGAGCAAGAGCAAGAGCAGGAGCAGGAGCAGGAGCAGGAGCAGGAGCAGGAGCAGGAGCAGGAGCAGGAGCAGGAGCAGGAGCAGGAGCAGGAGCAGGAGCAGGAGCAGGAGCAGGAGCAGGAGCAGGAGCAGGAGCAGGAGCAGGAGCAGGAGCAGGAGCAGGAGCAGGAGCAGGAGCAGGAGCAGGAGCAGGAGCAGGAGCAGGAGCAGGAGCAGGAGCAGGAGCAGGAGCAGGAGCAGGAGCAGGAGCAGGAGCAGGAGCAGGAGCAGGAGCAGGAGCAGGAGCAGGAGCAGGAGCAGGAGCAGGAGCAGGAGCAGGAGCAGGAGCAGGAGCAGGAGCAGGAGCAGGAGCAGGAGCAGGAGCAGGAGCAGGAGCAGGAGCAGGAGCAGGAGCAGGAGCAGGAGCAGGAGCAGGAGCAGGAGCAGGAGCAGGAGCAGGAGCAGGAGCAGGAGCAGGAGCAGGAGCAGGAGCAGGAGCAGGAGCAGGAGCAGGAGCAGGAGCAGGAGCAGGAGCAGGAGCAGGAGCAGGAGCAGGAGCAGGAGCAGGAGGAGGAGCCTATTGCCAAAGACGAGGACAAGGACGACGACGACGGGGCCCTCGCCACCTCGACAGAGCGGACGCACGCCATAAGGAGCCTTAGCCGGAGGGTGAGAAAAGGGGAGACGGTCGTGTGGGTACGGACCCTGGGATAGGGGCCCGACAAGACTGACGGGAGGGACGCGAGCAAGTATTTAATATATTGTAATACATATGCGCACGGCCTATGTAACGAGCCCCGAGATATTTTTCTGTATAGCTTTTTGTAAATATTGTACAGTGTGTCGTGTGCGCCAGTGCGCCAAGACTGCGTGTATCTCTCTTCGTGTGCGTAACTCGAACTTTATTTTCCTCGACTTGCAATTTTCATTTAGCCTTCAGCCGCTTACATTCGCGGAGTGTCGTCGAGGCATTATTGGTTTTTATTCTTTAGTTTTGCTTCGGCGTGATGCGGGTCCGCCGACGATAATGCACGATTGGAGCCTCTCGCTTTTCTTGTTAAATTAAAAAGAAGAAGAACGTCATTCGGAGCATTAAACGGGAGTATAGTATTTTCAGTTGGAAAATTTAACTTGAAAGTATTCTTCGGTATTGAATAATTCACTACTTTACCCTTTCCGCTTCAAATATTTTCACAGGCTTACAATTTTCACTTCAGCTACCTTCAATTTTACTTCCTTCAATTGAAAGTCCATTTTCCAACGAGCAAAGTAATTTTCATAAATTTTCATTATTTCGGTGGATAATTTTTTTAAACTTACTCCTCGAAGTAAGTTCGCAAAAAAAAAAGAAAAGAAAAAAGAAGAAAAAAACAGGACCATCAGTCCGTAACATCCATCGATTACAATTTCTCATCCCAATAAATACATAAATAAACAAATAAATAAATAAATAACTTTGTTTGCTTGACAGTCGAGAAGAATACTTTCAATGACCAAATGGAATTAGCGCTCCGAAAATAATAGTTTCCTCTTTACTCGTAATCATCAACTTAACGAGACTTTTGGTTTAAGTTCATAAAGTCGTAACTGGTTATATGGAGCGCGTAAGCTTTCGGGGTTTTTTTGTTTTTTTTTGTTTTTTTTTTGTTTGTTTTCTTTTTTGTTTTTTTTTTTTGTTTTTTTTTGTAGATCGATGACAAAATACATGAAAATATAGGCGAGTGATTTGAGTTTGCGCGTGCGCGTCTTTTCTTTCCCTTTCTTTGTTCATTATCTTTTTTTTTCTTTTTTATTATTATTTATATTTTGTTTCTTAGTTCTCGAAGAGAAAGAATTAACTAATAGAATTTGTAAGTGGTAAATCGTAATTACAAATTTAAATAAAAAATAAAAAAAATTATACTTCGCATCAAGGGATGAATGGATGAGCATTGATGAAATTTGTCTATAAAGCATCATAAAACACCTTTACTGTGTTCTTAAGTTATTATTTAATTATCATGGATAATATTTATATAGATAAGTTATGCGAATGTCGAGAGAATATGTAAGAATGTGTGTAAATGAATGGGTCAATGAGATAACGTATGATGAGTATGTATGAGAGAAAAATTAAGATAATGGGTGGGGGCGTTGGAGAGAGAGAGAGAGAAGAGAGAGAGAGAATAATAATAGATTACTCATGTGAGCTCCATCTCAATTCGAGAAAAAGCTCAGTGTTTTTAAAGAGTTTGGTAATTAAGAGCAAGCGCTTTCTTTCTCTCTCCCCTCGTCCCA